CATTTAAATATAGAAGAACATAGCTGCCCTGTATACGTAAGATAGAAAAAAAAAATGTTATCAGATTTGTTTTTCTTCGTTGTCAGGAGTGTATAGAAAAAGAGCGATAGATAACCAAGTGTCAGACCGGCTATCAGCTACAATTCCGGAGACAGAAATGCCTTCATTGAGGAAACTCTTGGACCAAAAGGTGAAGGATGGACAAAAATGCCAAGATGTTATAACCGCCTGGGTGGCTGAGAAGAAGTTAATCAATTTGTTTTCGAAGAGTCCTAAAGAATTGAGCAACGAACTTCTTGGTGCCGGATTCTATGCCTTTGCGCATGAGATTATGGCAGGTAATGTTAAATTGAAATATAGTTTATCACTTATAAAATCATTAAATTTGTAACATGAATCATATTCTACCTATCTTCTACAAATCTGCTATCTTCATCTTTTCAGGGCCTGTTATTCTTAAGGGCAGTATTGATGAGATGTAGGGAAAAGAAATTCAAAGTTTCTGTGATTTTTAATTATTTTGCTTAGCTTAATCAATGGAATGTTTAAATGCAAATAAATAGGTGTTCATGTTAGGGTGTAAGGTATATAATGTGAGTCATGATGCGGCTTAGGTTTTATTGATAAAAACACCAGCTTCGCTCAGAAATCTATAAACATAAAGTAATTATCCCCAAGTCCAGATTCTCATCTACCAGAACTTTATTACCAGCGGCTGCTTCGAATAATTTGAAAAAACCTCCTGCCACTTTCTTAAAAGATCCTTCTAAACATATTTATTCCTCTTTTAATTAAATGTCACATTCATAATTGTTGATTCTATGTATCATATGTGGTTTCGTAGATGTGATGTCACCCTTTGTTTTAAGCGCTACTATCTAAATGTTTTATTCATTATTCTTTTTTTATCTGTAACATCTGGGGGTGTTTCACAAGATTCTAAGTCAAACTTTACTCTAAGTTGGACTTAGATGTTATGGAGACCCTTTTGTAGCCCTATAATGAGATACATTCAAAAGCAAAATTCAAGTATTTTTGACTTTTCATAAATTCCACATCAAGAACATGAAATCTCCCAAGATAATAGAAAATATGAATGATTTGAATCAACATTTTATGCCTTTTGAAATAATATTTACAAAATATTGTCAATGATGCTAACGGCTTTCAATAATTTTTAAATCCAACTTGGAGATCAACTTAGGATCTTTGTGAAACACCCTCAGGTAGAGTTCAATCATGGAAACTTTGCGTTATAGATCCTTGGTTCAATGCAGCTTTTATAGCTAATTTTCGCGATTTTTATCATTCCAATCATTCTCATAGGTGCGTGGAAAGAAGACAAGAAAGCTGGACAGAAAGAGGAAACTAAAACTGGGAAGGCGGCCACTGAAGAGCTGCATCAAGAAGGCATCCCCATTAACGAGCATGGTAAAGAACTCGGTTCGAATCTAACAATAGCTTTATCGATATATGTTGAACACCCTTCCACCAATAAGAGAATGCCCACGTAAAAAATGCTGTGAAACATCATCATCACCATCACAAAGTAAACGTATAAGTGGCCTAAACATAAAATGTCAATTGTAAATGTTATTCACTTATATACAAAAAAAAAAAATAAAACAAATCTGGAGGTAATTTTACTGGAACAATCCTGCCCCCTCCCTGCCCCCCTCCTTCCCACAAACATACTCACCCACCCACACACATACTCACCCACCCACCCCCACACACACATACTACTCACTCAGTGGATGTCTGCTAACATTCTCAACTCAAGAAAAATATACTAGATAAGTTATCCAGGCCGCAAAATAGAGTTACCCTTTTAACAGGCTCACGATGGAGAAGAAGAAAACAATCTTAATTAATCTTAAGCTTCTCCCACTTTAAGAAATGTGATCCCAGCTTTCCCATTTTAATTGCTATTTTTTTTTCCTCATCCCTATACTTACAAATGTTTTTTTTTTTTCATCTTTTCTAAAGTTGGTACTCGCCCCCCCCCCGATCTTGACATAAATGTAACATACTTCACCATGAAAATGATAGTATTACACATTTTTATTCTATATGAACTACCTACCAACTCAACCCATATACCTCGCCATTCTAAATCTTCAATTTCATCTAACTCAAAAAGTTGTATTAAAGCCTGCTAAATCCTTTGAACGCTCCCGCAAGATAAAAATAAATGTTTGTATGTTTCTAATTCCTGCTTACAAAACGAACATAAATTATCACCTACACAACCAAATCTATGAAGATGCTCATGAGTGTATATGGCTCCATGCAATAATTTAAATTGAAATTCTCGTTGTTTTCTAATGAGTATAGTAATTTTTGGTCTAACAAACATTTATTTTAATTCTTTATCTATAAAATCATAATCATTTTGCAAATCTTGAACCCACATTCACAAACTGTATTTTTTTACTAGAAATATGGAAATAAGTATTAAAGCTTATCAAATCAACCTCGAGGAATTGTATTAACCCTGAATCATCCTTCCATAACCTGGGTATCGCATCATAAATATCAATAATCATAAGCAAATTATTACCTTTCATACCGAGGTTCATAAAATATTTAACAGACTTAACATGGCCTTTCTCAACCAAGTGATTCAGTTGAACAATCCCTCTTTCAAACAAGTATCTATCAAATATACTTTTTCCATTTATACATATGTTCCGATTATTAAAAATAATTGGATTAATATAACCCTCCAAATATCTTAAATTACTTGTCTCTTGCCATGCTTGCAACATTTCCATATAGTATGGTGGAGTATCTAAAACGAGTTTAATCTTTTTTAATTCATAATCACTTAAAAAAAAAAATCTACCACCCACAAACTGTAAGCAATGATCACAAAACAATTTCCATCCCACATTTGTCTCTCCATATAAAAGACGTTTTATCCACATTATGCGCTGTATTTTAACAGACATTTCAAAATTAATCATTCTTAATCCTCCAAAGTCATAATCCTGATACATTATTGCCCGCTTAATTCTATCTTTCCCCTTCCATATAAATTCAAATGAAATTTGTGCAACTTCTTTGTATACCCAATGAGGGACAATAACGAGAGATGAAATATAATTTAATTTTGAAAGCGCATACGTTTTTAACAAATGTATTTTACCCATAATAGTTAAATCTCTTTGTTTCCACCATACAACCAATTTTTTTATTTTACTTAGATTTCATTATAATTCAAATCAACTAACCCCTAAAATATGTATTTCCTTAACCAAATTTCCAAATAAAGGCCCATCAGGTTTGTTCTCATCCTCATCCATCCACATAAAATGTGTCTTTGTTTTATTCACTCTAAGACCACTAATTTGTTCAAATGATTCAAAAATATATCGCAACCTTCTAACCGAATCAATATCCTTCAAAAATATTGTCACTTTTCATCTGCATATAACACTTGCCTAATTTCAGATTTTCCAAATGTAATCCCTTTAATACCGTTGTCCCTCCTTATTGCATGCGCCAAAACTTCGATGGCAACCAAAAACAAATATGGCGATAATGAATCTCCTTGCCTTACTCCCCTTTCTATTTCAAAATACACCGTGGAGTGACCACCGTTCATAACACAACTACTTATCCATTTATACAATAATTTTACCCAAGAGCAAAATGAATCTCCAAAACCGAACAATTTAAATATTTGAAATAAATAAATATGAGATACAGAGTCGAAAGCTTTCTCAAAATCCACTGCACACAAAAACCTAGAATAAAATACCATGTACAGATAGACGCAATCACATCCACACACACGCAAACACACACGCACACGAGCGCGTACGCACACACATAATTTATATGGATATATTTATATATTTCGTCCTTTTGTCAAATGGTTCTTTCATATATTATCATGCACGCAGTAATACTTTTATGGGTAAATTTTTACTTGCCCATGTTATTTTCGTATCAATTTATACGAGTAGACCTAATCATCTCTTGATTTGTTATTTGTTGTTCGTCATATAGGTGAAAAAGAGGGTAAGGAGGAAAAAGAAGATATGGAAAAAGCCCCAAACGGTGACACTTCCGTAGAAAACACCGGTAAAGACGGTAAGAAAAAAAACAAGGCATTCTAACTGTTGGCGGAAACACGAACAAACAAACAAAACTAAACAACAAACCCTAGCATAGCCCCATACTTCCTCTTCAATCTTCTTTGATCCCATCCACTCTTCCTTAAGATACAAGTGAATTTTTTCACGTACTGGCATTGCAATTTTTTCTGGAGTTCCTCAATGAACCATACTAGGTCCCAGTCTATACTAAAGCTAACGATATGATACACAGTATTGCCTACTAGGACAAGCTCCCACTTCATAAATATCTTATAGATTAAAGCGTACAAATAGATAATGAAATTATTCAAGGACATGTAAAAAACAGTCATGCTTAACAATAATGATAATATTATTTGATATTTATATAGCGCACATTTTCATCATGCATGGTGCTCAAGGCTTAATTAATCGAAAGATTAAATGCAAATTAGCGCTTAGAGACTTCGGTGGTAAGCGCTTTATAAGTAACGTTTTTATTATTATTATTAAATACGTATTTACTGCACACTATGTAACCATGTTCAAGTGTAAGGTTTATGAGGTGAATCTTTACGCGGCTTACTAGGTTTTATGTTTAATTCACCAGCTTTGCTCTAAAACCTTCAAATATAAACTATTCCCAATCCAGATTTGTATCTATCGAAAAAAAGTTTAACATCGGCTGCTTCGGAAACGCGGAACAGCATATTTTTTAAAATCTTATTTTTTCTTTATATTCTGTAGTTTTGTAGATGTTATGGTAGTCTTTATTTTTAGAGGTGCTAAATAAATGTTTTATTAAATATTGTGTTTTTTCTGTAACATCTGTAAGAGTTCAATCACGGAACTTACCATTTATAGTTCCATGGTTCAATATCGTTCGCATAGTTAATTTCCACGATGTGTATTCTGGTAGGTGAAAGAAACCTAGACAAAAAAGCTGGACAAACAGAGGGAACGGAGACTGGGAACGCGGCCATTGAGGAGGAGGTGCATCAACAAATCACCCCCATTAACAAGCAAGGTAAAAAACTATGTTCAAATATACAAAAATAGTTATATCGATATTTATATCATAGCCCCACTGTCCTACTTTTAGCTACTTGCTCCCTCCATATAAAAAAAATCCCCAATCGGTGCCTGTCGGTGGTCCCCCATGATCCTCTTTTGCTTATGTTAGTTGAGAGCTGAGTTGACCCTGTAGTATTGACGGTCTTTAAATACCCTTTCACCAAAAAAGGAAATGCCTGAGATGTATCTGCGGGTTTGAATGATTTTAACAGAAAACTGTACCTTATAAATGCAGTGAAACATCATCATCACCATCACCATCCTCATCAATGTCACCATCCTCCTCGTCATGATAGTCACCATCCTCATCTTCATCGTTATCATCATTACCATATAACACGGTGATAACATGAGGTGGTTCACCTGACTGTTTGATTTGAATGTTCCACTATCCTTGAGCAACACGTGTATTGGATTAAAGTTACTTGACCAATATGATTATGTTACCTTTCCGGTTGGTAAGGCATATCAGTCTCCTTGAAACCTAATTTATACAACTGATATTTGATAATTTCCCACAACTACAACATAATAATTGTTACATAATACTCCCGTGTTAAATTTTATATTTTGACCTAGCGAATTCACTTTAGGATTCTTTCACTTGACAACGTAATACGATAAAGACAGACAGATAGACATGTCTACACGCGCACGCACACACCCACATACACACCCATACATATACATGTATTCATATATTTCATCCTTTTGCCGCATGGTTATTTGATATATCATGCGCGTGTTACTTCATAATGTGTAACCTTATAGTTGCATTCTTCTATTTAAATCAATTTATATTTGTAGGTCTTGGTGAAAAGAAGGGTAAAGTGGAAAAAGAAGGTATGGAGACAGCCACAAACGGTGACAAACTCGTAAGAAATACCGGTAAAGAAGATAAGAGAGTAAGAATACATATGAATGAGCCTAATATGCATTTCATTCCAAAGTCTTTAGTTTGTTTCCCTTTGTGACGGGCACAAGTAAGGGTATTTTTTTTTCTTGGGGGGGGGGGGGGGGGGGGCGGATTTAGAGCTGGTAGCAATAGACAATGATTCAGAGGGGATTCATGAAGATAACACTAGTGTGGAAGATAACAGCGTGTATTGATGTAAACACAAAATGCAAATATAAATATATATCAAAATGAGATATAAGTAAATTAGTTTTCATTTTTTAAAACTTAACGAATCTCTAAGACGGAAAAACGTACTTGCGAATTCTAATTCTTATAGGTACAAGTCAGAACAGAGAGGAAATAAAATCTTCAGGAATAGAAGCGAAGGACACTAACAACGTGGTTGCTGAGATATCCGAAGAAGATAATCCTAGTAATAAGAAAAAAGGTAAAATAAAACAGATTTACATAACCATGAAGACAGATGTGGAATCATATATAAATTGGAAAAAAATAATAAAATCTACCAAAATATAAAGCAGAGGAGGGTTTTGTTGTTGCTCACCCCTAGATAAAGGCGTTATCATATCTAAAATAAAAATAACAGTTATCGTAAATATAGTAGACCCAAACTATGCATACGGTGCTCCCTAACGAGAAATCAAAGATGAATAAGCACGATAAAAGCTTTACAAAATGCCTCGAAGCTCGCATAATCGTACTTTTATTATGTTTTTGTAGATGCCAATCATGGGAAAGAAAGCGACAAAGCTCCGGAGGAAGAAGCAAGCCTCAATAATAATGGGACCGATGGAGAACAAGTTAGTCTTGATGATGGTAAATATATGAACAGGCTTCAATGATAAAAACACCTCTTTGGTTGTAGAGCAGTAGATAGAACCCTTTAGAAGTTACGCAACCAGTTGTAGTTTGAATCAGTCTCTTAAGAGTGCATTTCCACCTCAAAATGACTCCTTCAAGAGCAGATTACATTCGTGTATATATAGAGAGTACCAGTACTCCTATCTGTAAGTATTCTTTAGATGCGGAGCGGTCAACCGCCGCAAAAAAAGCTACCTCGGTTTTTTAACGGTTAAGATGAATGGCAACTGCCCGCACAATTATTGTAAAGCATATTTCACTTAACGTTATGGTGAAAAGAACCGCCAATGTTTAAAGTACACCACGTCTTATCTTAACGAGCCTTTAATCATCATTTGAAAAAATGAGGACAAAATAGCACAGTGAGCTCCATATTGTAAGACAAATATTGCTTTATTTCCAAAATACAATTTTGAAACAACACGATCGCAAGTACTTCCTAAAAATAATCCTAAGAAGGCAATTCCAATAGCATCGTGCGTCACCCAATAAAATGTTCGAACATGGCAGTGGGGTTAACCATGATTCCTTTGGGACATACAATCGGGTATTGAATTGCCCTTCAGCTGATCTTTGTCGATCGTGTTCATAACCCACAGTGGTATTTGAATCACTTGACAAGGAGGTTTTTTTTCGTATGAGTCCCATAAACAAAGCAAACGAGAAATAGGTCATATTTTGGTTATTAAGATCAGATATTTAAGTAGACTCATGGGAAAATATATTAATGATATTTTCATAAATATATTTGATTTGATTTGGATTTTTTTTAAACACCATGTTAGAAGGTTGCATGAATACATTAAACATGTAATATGAAACTGTTAGGGTACAAATAGTAGGTATACAGCGTAATATCATTGGTTTGACTGCTAATATCTACCCCATGTTTAAACTATTCTACATTTCTATCGGAATAAAAAGAATTATTTCGTCAAGAGTTGTTATTTATAACCTTTGTTTTGAATTCCAGGTTGGGAACACGTTTCCAAGGAAGGTATTATATCTACATATTGTATAATATAAACACTTTATTTATTAGCAACTAAAAAAAATATGCATCTTTACATTTTCTTATTATTTTTCTGCACGAAATATTTCATGATTTTACATTATATTAAAATGTTTTCCTCCATATTCTTCATCAAAGGTTCATTCATTCATCATATGTATTACATTTCGACTATAAAAACTTGTTCTTGTCCACTGGTATTGAATTGGAAATCATAATGCTCGATAATATTATACAATGAAGTTTTGTAGGCATTTTTTATTGTCATTTCATGTAAGAAGAATTACCTTTATATTTCAAACTTCTTTTTCGGTACTCAAAGTAAGTCTTGAAAGAAAAATCACTTTTGTTGGTATTTGATATTCGCTCTCCATTTTTTATCTTTTATTTGCCTACACTCATTAAAATTATTCATGATTAACGAACATAAATTGTGGTCAGTATTTCGTATTTGCCTTTTTATCTAAGGATGTGATTTTCCGAAAGAGATAAGACCTGGGCCCTGTTTCATTAAAACTTGTTATCAGTAACAAATACTAAATTTCTATGACAAAGTTGCTCTTGGACAATCAAATGTCACGATTTCACTAACTTATAACATATATTGAATATTTCTATTGATATCAAGTTTTATGAAACAGGGCCCTGAGCGTCACTGGACATGAATATGGAATCGTTTGGTTAAACTTGCTGACAAGTTAGCAGAAAGGCTCTAACAGAATATATTTGCCGGCACTGTATGCAATTGTCCACAAAATGTTGCAATAGGAAAAGGGGCAGGAGTTTTTCCCGGTGCAGCTTTCCTCGTTTATAAGCGAGGCCTCTGAATAGTAAAATGGCAGGTACATTTCTTTGTACTGACCTTCTCCTTTTCATTATTACATATGATCTAACTTAAGATGTGGTGCAAGAGATGAGCAAAGATGGAGCTGCAGAATCAAGGGAGAACACTACTGAAAACGTTGACACGATGGAGCAAGGTAACTTTCTTTACGACATACCAATACAGATTTAGCTTTGTTATAGGTCTACTAACGGCATGTGTACGGTTCTTGCAATATGTTGTTATGAATGATGCAATTACATTTTCATTTAAATCTTCGTGTTTCGAAAGAACGTCATGAAGTCAATGAATTTGATGTCAATAAATTGATGCTGTATTATTGCACTTCAGGGCCTTGTTTCATGAAACTTGATATCAATAACAAGTTGCAATAACTTTTATAAGCTACTGATATTGTGGCATTTGAGCAAATTAGTCATTTTTTTAGTTTTAAGAATCAGGAACCTGTTCTGTAATGTATTAACTATTGCTCTCCTGGAGAGAGAGAGAGAGAGAGAGAGTGGAAAAAGTGTGTGTGTGTGTGTGTGTGTTGGGGGGTGCTAGGGAGCTATTCTATCACTCTTATATTATACAGTAGGTTTGCGGGTGCACCATGTGAGAGAGAGAGAGAGAGGTTTGAGGAGTCCTGAAAAGGACTCTGACTCGGTAATCTTTCTTGGAGGAGTGTAGTCATGAAAAGGACTGTTTGTTATCTTTCTTAGCATATAGCTCTCAGGAGAACTATAGCGCTTGGAGAGGATGAGTGGCTTGACGTTTCGAACAGGTTGACTATCCGTCGTCAGGAGTGGAGAATAGCTGGCGTGCGAGAGCTTACTCTTATATCATATATCTTTTTGGCTCGCGTAAATGCATATCTACATGCGGGGTTCAACCTTACCTCAAAATTGATGCGTTTCGTGAATCATTCCTATTTTCTTCCGCAGGTAACACATCACAATGGGTCGGACGAGCATAGGAGAGAGGAGAGTTCCGAAACTCCTCTTCAGGTAAAAGCGATTTCAAGAACCCAGGCTTTCAGTTAATCTTGTGACTTCACAATCTCCGAACCCACATAGGCTTAATACATCGGGTAATAGACAAGAAGAGCCATATAGGAGTGAGAGGAACATAAGAGATGACAATTTCGGAGTTTGTCTGCACACACTCGTAAAATGGGCAATTGGGGACAAAAAGCTATATTTGGTAATAATCAAAACATTTAGTGATTTCGAGAGTCCATGCATTCATTTAACTGCGGACCTGCGATAAAGAAAGAAAGAGGTACACGATTTATCATAAACACAGAATTTTCTCAATTGTTTGTATATCACTGTAATTTAGTTATAGCATGTTCATTTTCGAAACATAATCAATATTAATAAAGGCAAGTCAATATCATTTTATATTAGATTATATTATCATATCATAATTGCACATTTTAATACATGACAAGTTTATTGAAATTGCCTAAAGGTTGATATTTTGATTGTCGTTGTGATTATGTTGTACATAGTCCTAAGATAAATAAATATAATGCACAATTTATATTTACAATGATGCATGAGTTTATTGCAGCTAAAACTTTTGTACCAATGCAACAGAAAACATGTTTGAAAATTGCTTATTCATTCGTATTCTTATAATATTGTTCTATATACTACACGCGGTAAAAAGGCATCTGCATTATATTTAAGAGTAAATGTTATATGTTGTTATTAATTAGCTGCCTTCCATTGAATTGTGTTATATTCATAATGACACAAGGATCTTTATTTTAAAAGAGACTTATACTTACATGTAAGACATATGTATATAAGACTTTGTTTATACTTGTATCTAACATTTCTATTATGATTATGTATCGTACTGTAAAATAAATAGTTCTACAAATAAGTATACATGAATAAAAACAAAGAATGTATTATATATAGATAGATATATAGATGGAATAGAGCGTAAAGGGGTTCCTATATTTAGAAATCTTAAAAAATCTGTTGGTGCTCAAACTTAAGCCTTGTTTTCATGTAAGCTTATTTTGTTTATCTCTTTTTTTTTTTAATTGCGCTAAAATATATTGGATTTTTAAGTGAGAATTTGCCTTGTTTTCAAATATTTGTTTAACTTCAACATGATATACGAACAAAAGGATCTGGTAATACACCAAAATTAATACTTGTTATTTAGTGTTTGATTTTAACATTTTGAAGTTCAGTTGTGTTTGAAATTAATTTATGGAACGCCATGTGTCAAAGTCTTCATTTCGTGCACATGTCTAAAGTACCTTAACAACTTAACCACAAGAAAGTCATCGTGTTTATTAAATAAAGACAAACAACTCACCACGCTACAAAATAAAGCCATTCTTTAAGTTCATTTACAGAAGGATATTGAATAATGCCAGGTGATGCTGCATTATTGAGAAGACAGACATCCCCCTCCCATTCAGACGGGGTTTAAAGCTCGCCTATAAAAGTTACCTCACTTCTAAAAACTTGTATCTTACGTCACATTCTGATAGTGTAGATCAGGTTGTAGTTTGATGTATGTAATATATAGTCAAGTATCAACAGTATGTATATTATACTTGTATCTAACATTTCTATCATGATTTTGTAATGTACCGTGAAATAGAGAGTTCTACAAATAAGTATATTCATGAATATAATCAAAGACTTTAATATGTCATTATATTCTGCTGCTGCCTGCCTATATATATATATATATATATATATATATGAAAAGAAAAAAAAGACGTAAAAGGAGTTTATATATTAACAAAAATCTTAAACAATATATCGGTGCCGAAATTAAAGCCTAATTTGTTTCTCTCTTTTTCTTGTAATTGCGGTTAAATATTTTGTATTTGAAAGTGAAAATTTGCCTTGTTTTCAAATATTTGTGTAACTTCCACATGATAAAATAAGGATCGGGCAATCCACCATAACAATTTAAAGTTTGTGTTTACAGTTAATTTATGGAACGCCTCGTGTCAAAGTCTTCATTTTTGTTTAAGATACCGAAACAACTTAAACACAAGAAAGTCATCATCTTTATCAAATAAAGAGAAACATTCACCACAATGCAAAATAAAAACATTCCTAAGTCTATTTTCAGACTTAATCCTATCTTAAATATATATTGAAGACTTTCCATCGTATTTCGCGTATTTTAAAGATCTTATCTCCCTTCGACCCCCCCCCCCCCAAAGGAAAGCAGCACGGCTCATCCATTGTTAACCAAACATTTGTCTATGTCTC